CCCCAAAACCCCAAAACCCCAAAACCCCAAAACCCCTCAAGCAAAATAACCATTTGAAGATATTGTTAAAATAAAAATTTAAGCTGATGAAAATATGCCTGTCCTGACATAGCTCCTGATTATCTGCATTTGAAGTTCTGGGTTACTCCTCACTTCGTGGAAGCTCAGATTTATTTTGACAGACGTCAGCTAGGTCTCTAACTTTGTTTTAACTTCCCCGATACTTTTGGTATAGCCTTAGAAGCGAAGTCAGAGTTTGGATTAAATTTTTATAGTTAAGATATATTAGGATAAAATTCTGAGAGTACAGTACTCTCAAGTAAAGTTTTACAAGTGTCCAACAATCTTTTGATATCTGCAGATTAAATTATTTTGAAACAAATTGACTAGGATTTACTTATTCTTTTTAACAGACTGAGCACCTTCCTTGCACTTCTGAATATAGTCTTTCATCTGTGAAAGCCTCTCTTCTAGACTCTTCACTTTCTCTTGCCACCTTCTTATTTAGCATTATTCTCCTCCCAACCTTATTTATTGTAATAATGAAGAATGGTGCCTCTGGAAGCTGGCAGAGAGTAGGGCTTTAAGCTTGTACAAAATCATACTCAATTTCTGAAATATGTCGGACATCTCAGGATGAGTAGACGACACAGACTTCTCTCTCAAGATTTTATTTTCTCTATTATTTAGAGCTCTTCTCACAAACTCCTGAAATTTTTGGTGTTCTATTGAGTTTCCTAAACTGTTAGAAAAATACTAATTACACAAAGATCATAGTCAACATCTATTTAATAATCTCTTTTCATGATTTACAGCAAGCTATTCTCTGCATTTACTTCATCATATCAGAAATTAGCTAGTTCATTTACTCTCAGACCCTGAGATGAGAGAGTGCAAACTACCATCTATTTGAATGAAAATATCTTAAACTCATCCAGAATATGCACCTTCTTGTTTAGTTGATTATCTCTCCAATAAGATTGATAGAACATTCATGAAGTTAAGACAAGAAGAGTCACCCTCTAATGTAAGTATACTACATAACTCCTTGATGGTCTTGGTCTTTATCCCATATTCTCTTATAATGAATCTTTTTGCCATTTATTGATAAGATGGGGTTTTGGGGTTTTGGGGTTTTGGGG